ATTTTCTGTATTTATTTACGATATTTAATCGCGGCTTCCTTAATTCGATATTTTCGTTTTGAGCGCATTCGCGTTCAATTAAGATGACGGCTACTTGACTCTAATGGGTAGCGCTTTTTTGAATGCGGCATTATCGTTGTCACTGCCCGAATCATATATCTAAACACATTTTGACGTCTTTAAACAAAATTTCAAGTACAAACGATATAAATAGTCTTTATACTATTTATTAATATTACTACCCCCTCAGGTTCGAGGGGTCTAGAGGCTCCAGACGGAGAGGAGACTCCCCCTGTGGGGAGATGCCATTCGCCTGGAATACCTCTAGAGGCACTTGCAAATTACCGGCTCGAGATCCCCTTAGTATCTCGCCGTCCCCTAACCCGGTGACGCTGTAAAGGTCATCTGCGACAAACAGCATACACACTCAAAAAAAACTTAGACCCGGGCCTGTGTTTACCTTACACTTAGAATACGAAAGATTGTGCAACGGTTTTAGAACTTTTCAAGATGCAACCTTTGGATTCTCAGCCTTTAATTAACTCCATATTGTTTATTGAATAGATAAAAAAAAAACTTTTTAAAGTGTTTATAAAGAGCTTTTATTTTTATAACTTAATTCAGTGTGCCGACTGCTGATTGGCGTTTCCTCTAAAAGTTATTACGTGATAAATACGTTGTAGACATTGGGATGTCAAATTTTGTATTAATTCTGTTCAAGGAGAGTTTATTGTTTTTTAAATATTTCTAAATGTATCTATCTATCCTACCTATCGAATGAGTGATTCGTCAACTGTAAATATAAAAAATGCGAACACGAATTCATCAAATAATATTTCCTTTGCTCAGTTCACCGCTCGTTTTGCTATAGACACTAACATATTTTGAAATATAAAACTGCTGGTATAGAATATTCTATAATATAATTAACAGTGCCGTCTTTGACCTATTGGAGGCCCTGGGCATATTAGGATAATGGGGCCCCTATGACTTCCGTTTTGTGATTTAACAGGAACTAGGGACTTTGTATTTGATCTGTGGGGCGCGATCGCTATCGATCGCGGGGCCCTGGGCACTTGCCCAAAGTGCCCACCGGGAAAGACGGATCTGATAATATATAATATTCTATAACATCTATAATGGTCTCTCGGTCTTAGATTGCCGAACGCTCGAAAGTAACCCTTGACGTATTTATTTGTGAGCCATAACTCTTTAGATAGTAACGTTTCACGTTTTGTGATATTTTTATTAGAAATTCGGACTTAGATTACTTATATATAATTTTAGAGATACTTCGGCGACGCGACGTACCGGCGACCGTGTGCGTTAAGGGGCCAATGAAATCCATTGGTGAAAATGTATTGAAGTTTTACAATCTTTCTTGTGGTTGGTAGTCGAAACATAGCATTCTTGCGAAGTGAAATATTTTGAAAATATTCAATGAAATTAATATAAATTAGTATGAATTCAAATGTCGATTACATTTTGAAGCAAAATATTTTTCTTTGCAACAATGACTCTTATTGATTAAAACTGCCTCCATCAAAACTACTGTACGTACACATTTGTAATTCAACTTGGATACAACCCGCAACAGACTTAAATTTGCCACTTTAAAATTTGTAATGGCGTTAAGGAGGAATTTATTTTAATACTAATTATAAAGATAATCAAATGTCACCTGTTTGTGGTTAAATCCAAAATGAATTCTATGCTCCAAACAAAACATCGCTTCAAATGCATAAGTGATACATTCCACATTCCCAATGTATTTTAGTAGTCCCGAAGCCCGTTTTAGATCACACAATTTTCAGCCGAGTACTATTACACCACACAATCGCTTATTACACATTACATATTACACACGCTGTCCGATTATTGTGTAGTCTAATACGGCCTCAAAGGAAGCCCGTTTGGTGTGCGGCGTTGCTTTGTATATTTATTTTTCATTATTTCTTTGAGAGAGTGTATTTTTATAAGAAGTAAATTGTAAATACTGATCGCATCGTCCTCGGGGGCGGTTTGATGCAAAGCTCTTGTTAATTTGAATCCAGTGTGGAAACGCTCTTCAATTCTATAGTTTAATACTTATAAGTTTTTGGTTGACAAATACCATATTTTTTGATATGACATATTGGTCTCATTGAAACACTTATTGTTATAGAAATATGTTGCACCTACTTTTATGGTATAATATTAAGCTAAAGCTAGGCTAAACAATGACAGAACCGCGACTTACAACCCACATCTGTAGTTTTAATTTATTATAATCTTAGTTTTATGTATTCAGTTGTGTTTTCATTTACGCACATTATCTACGGGTTGTAAGATATATTGTGTACCACTTTTAATATTGCAGTATGATGTATGTTTTGAACGCATCTATATTCTATATTACAACAGTACTTTCATATTATTTCATACGCGCGTTAATTGTATTTAGATGTTTCGTAAAGCAGTTCACTGTAGCCTTTGTTAAAGATATGAAAAATAAACCATTATATTCATTCATGATGTATGCTATTGAAAAGCTCGATGGTGCAAGTGGTTAGCGGGTTCGGCTGCGAGCGTTGAAGTTAAGCAACTTTCGCAGTGCTCGGTCATTGGATGGGTGACCAAAAATCTTATATCTCTCACTCCTTCGTGCTTCGGAAGGCACGTTAAGCCGTCAGTCCCGGTTGCATCTGCAGTCGTTAGCACCCTCTAATCCGAACTGGGCCCGCGTGGTGGGTCATGGCCCAAACTCCCTATTGTCGTGGGTCATGGCCCAAACTCCCTATTGTCGAGATCTGTCGCCGCGATACCGTCCAGGAGTAATGGCGAGCAGACTTCGGTTTCTCATAATACAATATTATGTGTACATATTTACTTTTGTGTAACTTTTCCAGACGCAATCATAGCTGAAACAGTCCATTTGTTTTAAAATCTTAAACCCTCCGTTGCAGTAGTGCTGTTGTTAGTTTAGGGGGTATTCTGATATTAATTAATACTAATTTTGGAGTTAAACGCTAAAGAAAAGTTCAAATGTGTGGAAATCCAAAATTAGGCCCGACCAAACTAGTTTCGTTTATATACAACACTGAATAATAGGGGCACAGACAGGGGCAGCCAGCCCTTATTTTGCCAGCCTGTATCTGCAGCTGCGTCTGTCTGTGAGACACTTTATAATGATACAATTTAGAAGCAAATGTTCGCAAGTTTCAAGAGAAAAAATACACTGCTATTATTCTACTAGTTAATTCGAACAGACTAACAATTGAACTATAGCAACAACAGGCTTTAAATACGATTTATTTTCTCATTTTCCGTAACTAATGAACCCTGTACTTATTTTAACATGTAATGAAACTGCTTTTTAATTATTTTTACACTATTTATAGTACATTACTGCAGCGGCCAACAAAAGAGGCATTGATGGACGAACATGTAAATAAATACGTAAGTCCATCAATGCCTACTTGTGGCCAAGGCTTGTATTGTATAGAACTTTTCTCAAATAATGCGCGGAAATTAGTAGTACCAGAACATTTATTCTAAAATACAATTACCTAGTTTTCAAAATCAATTTCAAACAACAAACAGCAAAATTCATTTTTTTTTTTAATAAATAGCTTTGTATAAATATGCGTCGTTCGAAATTTAAATAAAATTGCAATTTATTTGGCCGCTAAACAGGACAGATATGGATTTTCATACAACTTTTGCTGGCCGCTACTCGCATGTATGTGGCCAGTACAGCAATTTTAATTTAGCTTGATGAAGGTTGTCAAAATAATGCACACATTTCCAAGCATGTTTGAGAAAATAAATATTATAGTATTGTTGTTACAGTTGGTATAATAATAATTGTTTTGAAATTGATTCATGACTAGTCAAAATAAAACATTAATATTATTACTATTGTTTTAATTTTCCATTAAAGATTATTCATCACATCAACAAAAAGTAGATACCAAAACTATCACTAATGCCCATGCCTACCTTGCCCTACCCGTGGATCCCTGGGGGCCATTCGCCTATCGGAAATGCTTTGGAAAACGCTAACGTTTTCGATTTCATTTTGTTATTTCTGACCGTCGAAGGTTTTCAAATACCTCACACTTATTTTTTTAATATTGTTATTACCAATGCAAAAGAAAAATAAGAGCGCGAGGCATTTGAAAACCTGAGGTGGCTAGAAATATCAAAATTAAATCGAAAGCGTTAGCGTTTTCCAAAGCATTTCCGTAAGGCGAATGGCCCCCTGGAACCTTACCCATCGACAGACACACCATTATATGGTAGTGTTATTTTATTATCGTTGTCTGTGTGGCAGTGCTCCAATTCAATCGGAAAATCTATACTCTATATATCTGTGGCTACACCCTACCTTGAATGCTTTTAAATAATTTCTTTGCACTTGGTCCGATTCACAAAAGGACAGATTCTCATTTCGTCAGATCCAGTACAGTAACATGGAGAAATACATATTAATGATAATAATTTTAAAATTCATCTAGTATATTAACAGTAAACATACTTTGACTTTGGTAGTAACATAATACAGTAATGTCTCGGTAATAACACATTTTCAAGTATTTACGGAAGAGACTGAAGAAGGAGGCAGCATTTGTGATGCAAGGTTAAAGTACAATAATTACATTTGCATAAAAAAACTTTGTCCAAGTGACATTCAAAAAAACAAACAAATTGGACTAATTGTATCTGATCACAACAGAAAATCTGTTTCATATAACTGATTGCTTATGCAATAAAATTTCTGCAATCAATTGTGTATGTAAGATTAATTTATTTATTGCGGTATTTATCTTTTAAATAGCATTTTAATAATAGTTGAACTTAAAACCACATACTTTTTAAATAGCTTGGACTGCCCAGTTTCATTTTAGAGTTATTTACTCATATTGAAACTTATAAAAGTATTACACTAGAAGCCATTGAATCGTCTTCAAGTATACTAGTAGAAAAATGGTTATGAATAATTAAATAAAATAATAAGATGGGTTTTATAAAAGTTTATTATGTTAAATGATTGCAAGGATATAGGAGCTTGTCTAACCAATAAAGTTGATTACCACAATGTGTAATACAAGGTGTGCAAAGATAAAATCGGCAAATCCGCGCTCAGCGCTCAAGCCTTGGAACTCATTCTTGTTATCAGGATTAACTTGAAGTCTCAAACACACTGTAAATAAATAAAATAATATTAGTTATCACCGTGTAGAAAGAAATATTGGTATAAACGAACGCCAGAAAATCACATTTGCTACCATGCAAATCACAGGTTACAATGGAAATACGGGTGAATAAAAGTCAGTAAACATATACACACCTGCTAAAACGAAAGAACTAACTGTTGAAATGAAGCCGCTAAGAAAAGAATTAAAAGGAAACGTTCCAACAAGACAACAGTAAACAAACTGTATGACGGCGGTCAGAAATATATATAATAAATAAGCATCGATAATTTTCAGCTTCTTTGGTGTTTTGCTTGTATATTCTTGATATAGTTTTGGAATCACAGACATGAGAGAGGTCATTTTTATTAGATTTTCAATTTCGGCCGGCCCAACTTTAACACGTCACTCGTTAACTTAGGCATAGAGTACATTTTTTTTTTGCTAAATTCTCCCTTTTCTAGGAAGGCAAGGGGAACAATGCCCATACAGCCTATTCTGTTTTTCTTTTTACATTAGAATGTCGGCGTGACGCATTCTAATGTTTCTTGAAGTGTTTGGCACGAAATGTATCGAGCTGGCTTTTTCGATAAGCTTCTGTGAGGTAGTCAATACTACAATAAAATTCTCACGTCCACTTGACCAGAATAGCGTATATTTTGACGATTCTACTAATTCTTCAGTTACGCAGACAGTTGTAACAGAAAATCACACCAATTTTATTTCACAATATCCACTATGAACGAATTTAAGAATAATTAAAATAAGACGCCAACCACACTCGATGAAATCCCGCCAAAAACATTTCCATAGAGTACATTTTTTTTTATTTATTTATTGGCAATGGATACATTGTCCTTACGCCTAGCTTATTACTAAGAACATGCAACTTAATATATTTGTTAATTATTTACATTTTACAATTTTTCTACAGTGTTACATATAAAATTAAATATAGGTGTTCTGTGTAGTACAGCTTAATAGATGTTTTAGTCTGTGGCTAATATGTAGCCAAGTTATGCTAACCTGTGTGACTTACACTTTTGACTCTGGCTCTTGAGATATGTAACCATTCTATAATAACTTGATTTCTATTAAATTAAAAGACATTGTTAAGTGTAACAATTATTTAATAAATCTGTTATATCTTGGAGTATATGGCGTACTTATTAACATGGTGTCAGAAATTTCTCTACTACTATTATAAGATTGTGGTAAGCAGAGATCAAGGAAAAAAAGATGGCGGAGCCAGCAGAACTTACACAACTGATTGAAAAACAATGTGAGCTATTAAAACTGATGAAAGCACAAATGGAGCTGCTGGGAAGTCCAGATAAGGGAACTAGAGTACATGTTCCTTGGCCTGCACCCTTAGATGTAGAATCATCGGACCCAGCGCAAGCTCTGGAGTTCTTCAAAACCACATGGTTAAATTATGTCGCTGCCACGGGACTACAAGAAGAGCAAAGACCAACTCTTTTACTTAATGCTATTGGGCACGCGGCTATGAAGAAATACATGCATTTTGGCCTAGAAGAAAAAGATAAAAAAAGTGAGATTAAGATATTTGCAAAAATAGAGAAATGTCTTATAAAAAATAATAATATTATATATAACAGATATCTCTTTAACAAAAGAAATCAAGAGGAAGGTGAAGACATAGATACTTATATAAGAGAGTTGAGAAAATTAATCAAAACATGCAGTTACAACGCTAACATGGTAGATGAAATGTTAAGGGACAGAATTGTGGTTGGAATAAGAAACACGGAAACAAAAAAAGAATTGTTAAGGGTCGAAGGACTCGATTTGATAAAGACCATTAATATATGTCAATCATCGGAAGCCACAACGGAGCAGTTGAGATCACTTGGCACATCAGAAGGTATGGTCAATATTAATAAAATTAATAAAGACGTTAAAATCTGTAAATTTTGTGGTGAAAAGCACATATTTAATAAAAAGCTTTGTTCTGCATGGGGAAAGAGATGTGAAAATTGTGGAGGCAGGAATCATAATAAAAGGGTTTGTAAAAAGAGCAAACTAGTGAAAGAAATAAATACAGATAACATAGAAGAAGAAACAAGTGATAACAGCTTGTATATAGCAAAAATTAGAACTAATCAACATTCTGGACAAAAAGAAGTGGAACTAAAGTTAAAATTTAATAAAACATGGTTAGATGTTTTCTGCACATTAGACACAGGTGCTCAGGTATGTGTTATTGGTGCTAAGCAATACAGTAAGATGAGTAAAGATTTCTGTCTGCAACATCTACAATCTACAGATTTGAAACTCAAATGTTTTAACGGCACAAGTATAGACACATTAGGTGTGATTGATATAGAGTGCATATATAAAAATAAGAAATACCGCCTGCTGTTTCATGTTGTAAATGTTAGTCATCAACCACTCTTATCTGAAGCTGCTTGTGTTTCACTTGGGCTGATAAACTATTGTAATAGTGTCACAGTGAGTGCAGACAATCAGAAGGAGGCTTATGATATCATTAAGAAATATGCAGATGTGTTCGAGGGGTATGGAGAGCTTCCAGGGATAGTGGATTTGGAAATAGATGAATCTATTCCTCCCCGCATTCAACCTGCACGTCGAGTTCCCATGGCGCTCCGAGCATCACTTAAAGAAGAACTGGATAGGTTAGTAAAAAATGACATAATTGTAAAGGAGGAATCACATACAGATTGGGTTAATAACATACTGATAGTGCGCAAAGGTAAAAAATTTCGCATTTGTCTAGATCCTATACCATTAAACAAAGCGTTAAAAAGACCTCATTTTCAGTTCACAACTTTAGAGGAAGTATTGCCAGAATTAGGAAAAGCCAAGGTTTTTAGTACTGTTGATGCATTAAAAGGTTTTTGGCATGTGAAGCTTAATGAGAAAAGCAGTAAACTCACAACCTTTTGGACACCTTTTGGAAGGTATAGGTGGTTAAGACTTCCATTTGGTATTTCCCCGGCACCAGAAATTTTCCAACAAAAATTGTTATCGGTTCTACATGGTCTAAAGGGTATTGAGGTTATGGCTGACGATATTTTGGTATATGGGTCAGGGAACACAACAGAAGAAGCAATAAAAAACCATAATATTAATTTAGAAAACCTTTTATTAAGACTGAGAGAAAATAATTGCAAACTAAATAAAGATAAATTAAATTTGTTACAGAAATCAGTGAAGTTCTATGGACATGTTTTAACTGATACTGGCCTTAAAGTGGATGAGGAGAAGATCACAGCCATCAAGAATATAACTATACCTACATGTTCTAAAGACGTATCAAGGCTTCTAGGGATGGTAACATACTTGAGCAAGTTTATTAAAAATTTAAGTCTAAATGTCAGCTCTTTGAGAGCATTAACAAAAAAAGATGCTATTTGGCAATGGACAGAAAAAGAACAATCTGAATTTGATCAAATAATTTCATCTTTGTCTAGCTTACCAACCCTTAGATACTATGATATGGGCAAACCTTTGATTATAGAATGCGATGCCAGTAGCATAGGACTAGGAGCAGCACTCTATCAAAATAATGAGGTGGTAGCATTTGCTTCTAGGACTTTAACTAAGACAGAAAAAAGGTATGCCCAAATCGAAAAGGAAATGTTGGCTGTGGTCTTTGCTTGTGCTAGGTTTAGTCAGTATGTAACTGCAAATACTAATACTATTGTCAGAACTGATCATAAACCTTTAGTTAATATCTTTCAGAAACCTTTAATAGATGCTCCAAAAAGATTACAGCTTATGTTAATGATCCTACAAAGATATGATTTAAAAATTGAGTATATATGTGGAAAAAATAACTTTGTTGCGGATGCTCTTTCGAGAGCTCCAACTGAAATGAAACACTCCTCTGACACATCTGATGATTGTAAACAAATTTTTAATATTATAGCTAATCATACTTCAATAAAATATCTCAAAATATCAAACAAAATTATGAATAGTATAAAAAAAGAAACTGAAATTGATTTAGAATGTCAACAGCTAATTAAGTACATAACAAATGGTTTTCCAAATTACATATCAGATATGCCTGAAAGTCTAAGATGGTTTTATAAATTTGCCTCTTCCCTATCAGTCCAAGATAATATGATATTTAGAAATGATCAGGTTTTAATTCCTAAATGCCTGAGAAAAGATATGTTGTCAAAGGTTCATTTAAGTCATAATGGTATCAACAGTTCCATTAAATTAGCAAAACAAAATATCTTTTGGCCAGGCATGTCTGAAGATATCAAGAACTTTATTGAAAAATGTAGACTTTGTATGAAATACTCACCATCTCAAGTCAGATTTCCGATGTTATCACATGATATACCTATGTACCCCTTTCAGTATGTATCTATGGATGTTTTTAATGTAAAAATTAATTTACAGTCTCTAAATTTTCTTATAACAGTAGATCATTATTCAAATTTTTATGAAATAGATAAAATAAAGGATCTGTCATCTAGAGAAGTTATAAATATTTGTAAAAAGAATTTTGCAAGATATGGAATACCACAAAAGCTATGCACTGATGGAGCTACTAACTTTGTTAACAAAGATTTTACTAAGTTTGCTGAAGATTGGGATTTTGTTCATGTGACCTCTTCACCACATTACCCACAGTCAAACGGGATTGCTGAAGCTACGGTTAAGTCTGCAAAGAAGCTCATTATTAAATCCTGTGAAGCTGGTGATGACTTTTGGATCTCTTTATTACACCAAAGAAATGTCCCAAATAGTGAAGATGATTACAGCCCTGTACAGAAATTTTTGTCTAGAAAAACTAGGACTCTATTACCATGTACTTCAGAGCAACTGGTTCCTGTAAAAATTTGCAAAGTTCCTGAGAAATTGAGATTGAGAAGAGAAAAATCAAAATACTTTTATGATAAGAAATGTAGAAAATCTTATTCCTTAACAACAGGTCAGAATGTGGCTGTCCAAATAAGCCCAGAAAGCAGCAACACATGGAAATTAGGAGTTGTTATTGAAAGAGTAAGTGAAAGATCATATAAAGTAAATGTAGATGGTGTTATTTACAGACGGGACATAACACATATAAAACCCTACAAAGGATCAAGCGAAGAAACAGTTTCTGAGAAAAATAATGTAAGGAAAGAAAGGAAAAGTGTGTCTAACAGTGAGGCTAATCAGGACTGTGAATTAAATAACAAACAAAATAGTGATAATATAGATTATGGTTGTGATTTAGTTATTAATGACAATAATGTAAACTCTAGTGTAACCTCTTCTCCAAGTGAATCAAATATAGATATTTCTAGGCCTGTACGATCAAAGGGTATCCCAGTAAAGTACAGAGATTATACATTGTACTAAAAATTTATTTGAGATCTTTGTTATGGTTAAAAAGTGATAATAATAATTAAAGGATATTGATTTGTATGATGTAGGT